TCTCGCATGGCCTGCGATGTTTTTGAGGCTTGTGAAAAAGCGGGATGCTGAGTTCCTGCCATCCTTCTTCTCTTCCCCTTCAAATCACTGCATGTTCTGTGCAATGTGTCTGGGCCAAAGGCAGTTTGTTTGAACTTGCTGCATTTCCCCTTGACTGCTCAAGTTTTCCTTCAGCCACTTTATTTCTATTTTGTGTTGTGCTTATTAGCTACAACCCCTCTGTTTTTCACTTGGCTCTGGCTGGATCTGACAGTGACAGTGTCAGTACATTTTCCCTAAGCCCAGACCAGAGTCTTTAACTGCAACATATCTTTCCAAACCCAGAGTGATTTCTACAGAGAGTGCTTGGAGGAGTCACTGCCTTGACTCCCATGGACTTTGGGTCAGGCCCATGCTCTCGGATCACTCCATACATGTTGCTGCCAATCCCTGGGGCCGGACCCTTTAAGATTGTCCAAAACAAACATTGTCCGGGTGAGATCAGTGCACAGGCCATCACGTGAAAAGCTCTGTGATAACAACTGACTGCATGTTTGCTTTTATATGGCATTGATTCTTATTTCCCTGACTATTTTTAGTATTCAAGGTTATCCCTTAATCAACCCACTTTCTTTAATAGCTGGCGTTGCCCCTAGTGTGCTGCAGCAGGGCTAATGATGCTTTGTATTAGGTGTGGGAAACGTGAATTAGTTTCTCATCCATTTCAGTGGCATGAGAATTATGAGTTTATTTTTCATCCATTTCAGTGCCTCGAATCAGATCCTCATACAGCCACTGAAAGAAAAACCCCATCAAACTCTACACCAGCCCAAATCAACATGTTCCTGTTAGTGGGGAAAGCCTTACAGTAAGATGTGCTGTGCTCAGACAAAGACAAATCAAACAAATATTTATTCCTCTTCTGCTCTACCTGCTTTTTCCCCTCCAGGAGTGAGGATTTGTGGCCCCAAAGCTGTCTGGGGATGAGGAGCGGAGCAAGCCTGGCACTGAGCCCCAGCTGGAGTGAACCTTTCAGACGGGGTCAGCTTCCCTCAGAGATGAGGATGAGCCTTCACACCCTGTGGTCCTGCATGCCCTGCAAGCCTCTCTTGCTCAGTGCAACACCTGAGCACAGAGGAGTCCCTGGGTGCTGTCTGCAGGTCCTGAATTTTCCCTTTCAGGTGTAATTTGGTGGTGTTTAGACCAGGGCCTGCTGTTCCCACCACGCAGTAGCCACACTTGCTGCTTGGGCTAATGAAATGCCCTTCTTGTCTGTTAGCAGGCAATTATCCTGTGGGATTTTCAAGAGCTGGATCTTTGTCATTTTTTGATGATTTGGTGTAAGCAACAGCATAATCAGTGGCTGGAGAACTCAGGAGAAGTCTCGGGAGCCAGTGTGCAAATCATTCCTCCCCTGCTTTGGCTAAGCAGAGGCAGCTCACATGGAGCCCACAGACCTGGTACCTTTTGTGGGGTCAGGGGAGGATGTGCCAGGAAAGTCTGCCTCATTGGAAAATGGAGAAGCAAGAGAAGCACTGAAACCTGGGTGGGGTGACTGAGAAAATTTCTATTAGAAATCAAGTGGAGATGCAACTCCTGTTAATTCAGAAGCACAGAATTTTGCCAGCTGAGATCTTAAAATTTCCTTTTGTACACAAGAAAAAAAAAATGCTGAATCTATGCAAAAAGTAGCCTTACAAGAACATATAGATATAGATACACGAGTACATCTCATAAACTGCCCTTTCCCATCCCTCTCTTCTCCCAGTCAGGTTACAAAATTTTCTTCTGTTGGTGACAGCAAAGTAGCCTGGCTGCCTGAGTCCCGACCTGAGGCAGTCTGGAAGAATTGGACAAGCCATAAAAATGCACTAATTTTCACATTCCTAACGTAACAACACTCTGGATCTTGAAAACCCGAAGTGCCTGATTTCTGGGGGTTTATTTTCTGCACATTTTCACTATTTCTCAGCGCGTTGGCAGGTTTGGGCAGCAAAACAGGGTGGGAGGATTTTGTATTTCCTCTTGGGTCCCTTCATGTGAGCGCTGCTCTCCTGCTGGATTCACAAGGTGGAAGGGAAAGTGTAAATGTCTATTTTCTTCCCTTTTCAGTGTGATTGCTCCCTAAACTATCCCACCAAATCCCTGGTGACCAGTAGTGTCAGTATAAATGGGGATTGCTGCAGGGCTTGGTTGACTCGGGCACATTATGGATCTGGGACACCAGCTTCCCCTGCCCTCCCCGTGTCAGCTCTGGCAGATGTGCAACCGGAAGAAAATGTCCCAAAAAAAGGTATGAGGGTGGTTCCCACACACCTTGCATGTGTGCAGCTCTGGCTCCAGCAGCGATGCCCCCAGCCAGCCTCACGGAGGACAGATCGGGGGAAGGATTCCTCTCACCACAGTTTCGGTGAAAGAGAAAGCCTGCATTGAAGTGAGGAGAAATCCCTCTTCAGTTAGCTTTGGGCTAATTAAAAATAGTTCTCCTTCCACAGCTATGAGAGTGAAATGGGGTTAAACCCTGGTCTCGCTCAAATATCTCATTTCCAGGACATTCAGGGCTCGTAAAGCCAAGGGCTGCCTTAATAAGTGTCACTCTCTATATCTCCTGTAACTTGAGGTCAGCCCAGCACTCATCAGACATAATCCATCTGACTGAAGGAGAGGCAGGTACTCAAATCACCCTCTGCAGGTTATTCTCTCCTCTCAGACCGGGCTGCTGCTCACATTTGGTGGCTGACTCAGATATCTGTGCCAGGCAGGGATACCTGGGTGCACCTGGGTGAAGCAGGGGGTCACTGGTGACTTTGGGTGGCCTCAACTCCGCACTCTCTCTGCAGCCAGTCACTGTTAGCCAGCCTCAGGAGATGCTGCATCTTTATTCCAATGTACAGATGGCTTTGTGGGGTATTGGGATAACAAATTAAATAGGTATTGCCAACATCTTCTTTAAAAAGAAAGGAAAAAGAAATTGGCAGCTCCCCTCACAACGTTTGAAGTTTAGATGAGGCTTTCAACCATTTTCTTGGACAAAGGCACGGGGATCAGGTACCAAAACCAAAAGAAAATTGTACCCCAGTCTTTGTAGATTCAATCACTGTTTATGATATTTGGCTACAGAGTCAATTAAGCAGAATACAAATGCTACCGAGTAGTGATTACTAGAGGCAGACACTTAGGAGAAAGCAAAAATCCCTGGGGAAGAGGAGCAGCAGAGACCTGAGATGAGCTACTCCCAGAATTCATCTTCCTGGAGCCCTTGGTACAGGTCTACACAGTCTGTGCGTGGCCACTCAGAAATGAACCAGCAAAGGTGCTGCTGGCTGAGGGTCCAGCAGCGCCTGCTGTGACACGGGACAGGGCTTCCCTGCGCCTCAGAACAGCTCGGCTCCGCCCTGGGGTTTATGTTACAGACGGAGAGGGAGCAGAGATGCTGCAGCCAGCCACGGGAGCGGTGGGTCCCTGGTGCCTGCCGTGCCCGCTGCCTTAAGGAGGCCTGGAGCTTCGCGCCCGGGACTGAGCTGCTGTTGTTCCTCTGCATCTCCCTCGAATCCCCCTAAGCCAACACCCTTTGCTAAGACCGAAAAACATTTTCCAGACGCAAGCATGTGTACGTGTGTGGGTGGGTGGGGTGCAGGGGACTATGAAAATTTCAAGGCGAGGTATGACATCCTGGCTTTCTAAATATAGAGGACCTGAGCCGCGGCTTCTCTCACACGCTAGCAGCGTGCTTTCTCTTTCGAAAGGCCCCCAGAGCAAATATTGCACTGGCTGGGAGCGTGAAAAAAAAGGAAAAAAAAAAAAAAAAAATTAGAAAAAAACATTAGTCCTGCGAGTTGATTGCAGCTCCTGGCATTCTTGCGCAGAGCTGTTGTTTAGGCAAAGCTCCAAGCGGTGCCCACGCAGAGCCGGCCGGGCCAGCCAGGCGCAGATGGCCGTCACATGAAGGCTGGTGGCAGCCCCAGCGTGGGGCCAGGGCCTGGCGGTGCTTCCCCTTCGCCCACCAGCCCCTGGCCTTCCAGCGGCTGCCGGGGAGCCAGAGGGACACGAACCCTGCCGGGGCTGAGAATGAATGTGACATTTTGGCTCCCCGTGAGCCGCCGCCTCTCGGTTCCCTTTTCGCTGCTGGTATTGTTGCTTCGCTATTTGCATAGCACGACATCAAAATGCCTCAGAGCCAGAGGAAAGTGGTAGCTGCTGCTTCTCCTTTTAAAAACCCGAGCAGTTATCCATGCAACACCATCACTGTGTGTGCGATTGGGGTGGAGGAGCAGGCGTGACACCAGGGGGTTATGGCCTTGGGAGAAGTTCTGCAGAACTGAATTTAATCGAGACTGATGATCTCTAAGCCAAGCCATAAAATCCAGCGGAGAGTTATATCCTAGTAATAGACACTATTAGAGGGTCTAGCACAGTCTATAGAAAGGATCTCCTCTCTATTAAATTCTCTAGGGCTTGAGTTCTCATTTACACAAAGGGCCCTTTTAGCTGTGTAAAATGACCGTAAAGTAGGTGTAAAGATGATTGATGCTGTCTTTACAACCCCTTTACACTGGGAAAACAGTGTAAAGTGGCCAGGGTGCAAATGAGAATCGCACCTGGGTTTGTGAGAGTAAATTACATCGAGCCCTTCACAAATTCCGTGTGTCCATAGAGGTTTAATCCTACCCCTTTCTGTGGAATTCACCGAGAAGATACATTTCCCAGGCTTATAAAAAACTGTTTTCTTCTTCAACACCTCTGTCCTTTCCAAGCCTTTTAGTCCCAGTCCTTTTTCTGGTGCAGTTCACATGGACTCTGACACTGGGAAAAGGCTGGGAGCTGTCTGGATATGCTTTGGTAGGTGAAAATCCTTTAATTAGTACTTTCCCAAATTTTTAATTCTAGCAAAATACATATTGTAAAACCGTACCCAGGGGGAAATCAGTTCCTAAACCTTCTGTGTCTGTTTCACCATCTCTCCTGTTTTGATTTAATGCTCTTGAGATACATGAAAAGGAAATAAAGAAGTTCATCTTTGCTAGATGGAAATGCCCCGTATTTATTCATTAAGCATATAAACCACCAATAGAATATATGATGAATATCTCTTTCTTCCAGAGCAAAGGGTTAAGCTGCATGGTGCTGATTAGCAAACCGAATTCGTGGCTGGAAGAGGAGGGTGAGCTGATACGGAGGTTCACTGCTTGTTAAGCGGAGCAGGCTCTGTTATCCAGACCTCCCTTCTCCTCCCTGCCGGCACGCCGAAGGCATTTACAGCAGCTCTGTGATCATCCCCGCTGCGTCTGCCGTGCTCCAGAGCAGCCCCAGCAAATCTCAGCCCGGGGTGAGCAGGCAGAGGCCAGGCACTGCCAGCCCAGCCCCATCCCACAGCCTCTGGGGCCATGGCAGCACCTGGGAGGCCATGGGAGACAGGGAGTGAAGACGTGCGGGTGAGGCAGAGGTCACAGCATTAAAGAGACAAAGGGCAGCTCGGGTGGAAATGCCGCTGGGCCAGGGCTGCAGTGCTGCACCCTGCTATCCCCTGAACAACAGACACATTTGGGATGGATGGAAGGGGGAAGCATGCCCTGCTCTGCCAGCAGAGCCTTCCTCTTTCTGTGCCGTGGTGAGGGTTGGAGGAGGCCCCAAAGCTCAGCTCTCATTCAGACTCCCTTTGATCCTTTTCCTGCTTCTTGTTATTTTCTGTGTGGAGAGAGAATCCCACATTTTTGGCTGGAGGGAGGGGCAGGTGCACCTAGGGCCGTGCAGGTAGGAGGAAGGTACATCCTCTGCCCTGAGTTTGCACAGAGAGCACAGCTGGAGGCATGTGTGGGATGGGGGACAAACCTGAGCACACCACAAGTTGAGAGGCACCCCTGTGTACCCATCTCCGGGCAGGATGGCCCTGGCACAGGTCTGTGAGCACTGCTGGCAGCACTGGAGCCGTGGGAGATGGGCTGGTTCATGCCAGAACTGCATGGATGGCCCCAAGGATGAGTCTGACATCACCAGCCTGCCATCCCGCTCCTCTCCTGTCTCAGCTTGCCCCAGAAGTGCCTGAGAGGCAGACTGAGGTCTTGACATGGGTGGTGACATGGGCACCCTTGCAAATGTGCCCTGCAGCCAGGCTTACCAGTGGTTGTTACTTATAGGTGCGTAAGAAAGGTCATTTGGAAGCAGATCTCAAAACCCTTCATGTTTCGCAGCTCCTCGCTTTGTGCCTTGGCAGAAAGCACCTTGGTGATGCTATGTCTACTTCAGAGGCACTTTCCATGACTAAAACTACAGCCCCTACACCCAGCAGTGTTCTTTCTAGGTGGGCCACAGGAGACTTCCCTACGCTGTGATCTTCTGACTCTGGAGGCTTGACAGTCTAGCCCCTGGGTGATGTGTGATCACCATTTGGAAAACAGGGGTTTTTTTGGTAGGATTAGAGCTCCTTAGGCAACTAGGTTTTTGCCAGTCTGGGTGTTTGACTTTCTGACGACTATTTTTGCTGCAGAAAGTTGGCTGGTTTTTTTTCTTTGAAGCTTTATATAAATTTCATTTGCTTCCTCCTAGCTAATGATTATGGCACAATTTTTCTGGCATGTGATTGCTCCACCCCACCTCAGAGACATCCTCATTCTGGCTGGGATCGGGAAATCCCTCGTCATGGCAGGGTGTGAGCACCAGCTGGCTTGCTCTTGCACAGATATGGATCAGGAGGCAGTGCCAAATGCTGCCAATTAGGAACTGCTCCTAAATTTAGATGTCCATGCTGCGCAAGTGGAAATGGCAGTTCAAGGGACAAACCAACGTCGTTGTCTTGCTATAAGGATAACAAGAGCAAAGCACTTCTAGAGCTGCACTTTCAGGGTGAAAAAGCACTGCCTGAACACAGTTTGTTTTTCCATCCTCATTAAGAAATCATTACTCTGTTGCCCTCATCATTATCAGAGATGTCTTTGGGAGACTGGCAGTCTCTTCTTGCTTCCCTCCCTCCACCCCATTTTAAAAACATTCATTGTTGCAGGAATATATCTTTCAGGGCTGTTGGCCCAACTCCACTGCTGGTGTGTAAGGCCGATTGTCTTCAGAGGAGTTACACCAAAAATGCATTTGGCCTTTTGTGCTTGGAGTATAATTGGTGGAACTGGCTAAAATCTGGGTTTGTCAGCCAGCAATTAGAGCAATAGGGACATAGTTTTCAACAAGACTAGTGATTTATACTCTACTTCAGGAGTGAAACTCAAGATTCCTTAAACTGATCTTTTCTCCCAAATATCAGAAATCTGCCTGGAGTCTCAAGTAGGGCTCGAGATAAAGAACCTTCCGTGAACTCGATCATATTTGTTGTTTATTGGTAATTACGTTAGGTAGCCCATATCATTAATCACTCTGAAAAGTTATATGTATGTTTTATATGGCAGCCATCAATATATTCACTTTGGTGTTGGTCTCAACCTACAATGGAAGAAGACTTGACCTCCCTCATTACTTTCCTGAATGTTAAATTCCCATCAGGTTAGTGTGGATTACACCCAGAGCACCAAGATATGATATATTCCCGAAGCGTGTTCCCACTGATATAATTAAGCAGTTTGGATTAGATCCTTATCTGGTAGAAATTGGCATAGCTTCTCTGAAGGCAAGAGGGAAATGGACCCTATTTTGTAATGGTTGTAGCCCTGCAGATGAGTTCCCAATGATTTTATCTATGGCTATTAAAGATCCTCTTTGGGGAGCATTTGTACAGCTGCATCTTTAGGACTCTGTGACCTCTAGCTAACCTCACAAGAGGCCTTTTTGCAAGAGCAGCCATGAAAAATGCTCCTAAAATGATTGAAAAATATGTTCATTAAAGCCGTGTGAGCGTTTTTCCTCTTCAAAAACCTTCCAAGCGTCCATCCCTCCGCGGTGTCTGCGGTGGCAGTTCCCATCTCTGGCCACAACCCCCTGCCAGCCCAGACCCTACACTTGCTGCCTGTGGCCTTCAGCAGCCACGAGAGGCTGGAAGCGAACGCCCACGTAGAAAACCTGGTATCTGTGCTTCCACACCACGAAGCACGTCAGGAGGCACACCAGGGCTGCCACCAGGTTGAGAGCCATCTGCAGAAGGAGGTACAGGCTGAGCATGCTGGTCAGGCTGCCACAGTCGGCCGCGTCCTGGTACACGAAGGTCCGGCCCAGGGGGTCTGCAGTGTCCAGTTTGCACTGGCAGGACTCCCGGATGGCATCGCAGGTGAACTTGGTCAGCTGCAAGTAGTGGTGTGCAGAAAAAGCCACTGCCAAAACACAGGCAACCAGAGCCAGGGCACTCAGGAGAAAATACAGCAGCTGAAGGAAAGGAAAAAAACAAACAAACAAAAGAGATAAAAACCCTTTTTCCAGCTTCTTAGAGACTGAGGAACACACAAGGAATGCAGCGCATGGACTTTGCAGGGAATGCATACCCACAGTGTTCTGTCTGGAGATTGGGTGCTTCAACAACTGCATCCTTATCATGAGAACTTCAGCAGGTCATCTCAAGAGCTTGCCTTGCGTGTTTTATATGAACATTGCCTCGTAATTTTGAGACCTGGGGAGAGCACCAAGGAACTGGTGTGTCTATACATCAAGAAGCTTTATAGAGAGGGAGGGAGCATTTTCCTCTCCAGTGTACCTGCATTGACAGGACTCACGGTCATCAGCTGAGACAAATTAGTGCCTGGAAGCAGAGCTGAGCAGACTGAGCCTTGGGCTGCCATCTTACCCCAGGCTGTGCTGAGCTTTAGGTGGTTTCAAGACTTTGCTCATGTCTTTATCTCAGTTTCCATGTCCAAACAAATCTGATTTATACTTGCAAATCAGGCAGTGGGGTGGCTGATCTCCTGCTTGTGGCCCTGTGGATGCAGCCAGCCTGTTTGCTTCCCAGGTCCCACTGTGGAATAGGAATGCAGATCTCCACAAAATAGTGTGTGCTGTGCTCAGTCTGCTTCCAAAACCTGTCCCACAAACATGGGGAAGTCTTTCACAGGCATGAAAGGGCAGCAAGCACTTTCTTTTCCCCGTGCTATGGTGTGAGAAGGACAAAGGTCTGCTCGTCACCTCCACTGCTCCTCACAACAGTGGCAGCTTAAAAATAGCATGGCTTTTATCAAGGGTAGCTCTGCAGAGTCCACCCCCACAAACACATGGAAACTGGCAGCAAGTCAGAGCCTTTGACACTCCGGGATTCACCTGAGAGCTTTGGATACCAGCACATATGGACTTCCCTTTGCTTTTGATAGGTGGAACTGGCAGTTGCTGCACTGCGTACAAAATATGTGTGAATGTATATTAAAATCATGCTCTGTGTTTTGCCAAAATTGCATTTTTTGGTTCTGTTCAGCACTGTAAAAACATTTATTTTCCTTGGCGTCTTATCTGTCAGACACATGGCATGGTTGGAAATCTGTTATTTTAAACAGCAGCTTCTCTCTCTCTTTCTCTTTCTTAACCTCAATACTGCAAGCAAAATATCAATATAAAAGCATTTTTTATGACCTTGAAACTCCAAGTACGTATGTCTTGATAAAATTCACACTCCTGGTGTATTTTCTTATATCTACAGTGTGAATCAATCTTCTGTTTGGTTGCCAGCTTGAAAAAAATGAATTTTGGGATTATTGCAGGTCCTGAAGCACTATGTACATTTTCCCCCTCATATCACCAAATTCTTACTGAGAGATCTTAGTTTCCAAGACTTGGCTGCTATTAAATTTAATGACTTCCCCTGTGGCCTTAAACTAAGGGCAGCTTCAAAATGAGGGTGGCTCTTATTAAACTCAATTACTTTGCCCCTGCAGCTTTCAAGGGAGGGGTCCATGGGAAAGGTGAAGCTGGAAAATGGGGCCACCTCCTCGTATGAAGCATACAGAAGATGGAGTGCTGCTGACTGATGGACCCCCTCCAAACCAAGATGTGGTAATTCATAAGTCAATGGCATTGTTTTCAAAGATGGTGCAAATGTGTTCGATGGGGTAAACAGAAAATGGACAAACCTTGCTTGTTCTGTGATATAGAAATCCTGGTGGAAGTCCTTGGATTCAGCCCAGCAGAAGGCTGAATCAGGCCTCCCTAATAGATGAGATACTAAGCCAAGACTCCACCATGTGCCTAATTCTTCCTTGGCAGGTATTTTATTTAGCTGCCAACTTCTATCCAAAGTCAGGACACAACAGCCTAATCCATGCTCCAGGTACAGTAAGGGAGAATTTTTCTGTTATGTTCCTAAAGGGAAGGAGATCTCAGAATCTGAATACACAGGCAGCTCTTACAATAATCCTTGGAGGCAAAGGGAGATGCATGGGGGACACAGGGCAATTTCCAAAAAGCTTATTATTCTCACAAGATGTTTGCAGAGGAATCTCTCTGCAAGCTGCTGAAAATGAACACGTTTCCAAATATCAAAGGTGAGCCAAATGCAAGCACTGCCTCTGAGGGAGCACAAGACAGTGAGTGCTGAGATTCCATCAGCAGATTAATCACATGCCAGACCTGGAGGCAACTTCAGCATCACAAATACGACTGCATGGTGGGTGCTGCCCAGGAACCAGGACTTGCCACTGGAAAACTGTTTTTTAACAGCTTCAGAGAGATAAATAGGCACTGCAATTGCTGCTTAAATAGAAGGAGAAAAGGGAAGTGGGGAGAGACAGTGTACAGTGAGGTCAGAGCATGGCAGCTCATCTTCCTTCGTGTTCCTCATATGAGCAAGAGACATTTTAGCAATATTTACTGGCAATAGTTTTCGTCATGACTAAATTGAAATAAATAACAGGAAGATGGATTAAGTTCCTCATGGAAAAGGCTTCTCATAGTTATCAGAGGTGAAGGCAGAGGGGTTTTCAGAGGTGGAGCAGGAGGCCTGTTTTGAGAGCTGTGGTGGCTCAGGCAGGAGCCCCTGCAGGAAACAGGAGCTGTGGTGTGTCACAGCGTGAGCAGTGGGTGTCACTACCCCACAGGGTGCCGTGGGGAGGACCACAGGGACTGATCTGTCAAATGTCAGCACACAGCCCAGGAAGTCCACAGGGTGGCTCAAGATATTCCTGCAAGGCACTGGCTGTCCCCACTGAAGGGCACAGCCACCCTCCCCTTGGGTGGCCTCCCTTTCTCAGGGACACATGGCGTGCTGTGGGTACCCACAGCAGTCTCAGGAAGGGACTTCTGCCGAGAGCAGTTCTCACACCTCCTCCTTTAACAGGACCCTGGGCTCATGCGAGTGTGGAATGAAAGAAGAAGCTGCCAAGAGGCAGGAAGGCAGAGAGGAGAGCACAGGTCTCCTCCTGTTTTCCACCTCGAGGGAGTCACTCACAGTGGTCAGAGGGTCAGCTTGGGGGTTGACCCATGTGTGTTCCTCCTCTCACAGCGATCCTTGGGGTGCTTGGGGCTCTCCAGGGAAGTTCAGCCAAGATTTTCCTGTTGGGTGACGCTTGGCTGATGGGAACCAGCCACCAGTGTGAGGGCAGGACCTGGGCCAGACCCCATAAGGACAGTCAGAGCAGATTGGGCTGAACCCAACTGCAGTGCTTGATGAAGCATCAGGCCCTCAAGGAGAAAAGAACAACCCTCTGAACAATCTGTCTCATGACTACAATCTTGCATCCTCAGCCTTGTCATAGCTAATGCTCATTTTTAGAGCATTCAGAGACAGCCTTTAACTGAAATTCGAAGATTCCAGAAGTGATACTGGAGATGTAGATGAGTCCTAGTTGATCAAAGCCCTGGAGGTGAGTTTTAGCTCCTACTTTGTTAAAATAGATGTGAGCCCTTCAGGCAGAAGCCATTTGTCCTGTTATCCAGCTCCCAGCAGGGGCGTGGGGCAGGAGAGGTGAACAGCCTGGGAATGATGGAGTTCTGTGGCATGCTGCAATAGGAAATGCTGGGAAGGGGGATTTTGGGGAGGAGGGTGCCTTGGGTAAGCAACAGTCCACGGGCTATTGACTCAACCAGGGAGACTTAAGCTCCAGCTCTGCCAGGTGACAGGAATGGCCCATTTGACATCACCTCGGGAGCAATTCCAAGTCGTCAGTTTTCCTACTGGGAACGATGGCTTACACTCCTTACGGTCAGGGTGTGTGGCAGAGACATCTGAGCTGCCCAGCCCGACATGCCGTTCCCAACACGAGGGATGACTCCCTTCCTGCCTGGATGCCAAATTCAATTTAGTGCTGCGGGGCAGGCAGTAAAAAGCCTGGCGTGGCAGCCCCCGCCCAGCCCAGTAACCTTCCTTGGGGGTGGAAAGGAGACAGGGGACAATGCAGAGGCAGCCACAGGGCAGGCACAATTGTTCTTCTCCCTTTCTTTCTTTAAGTACTGGAGGAGGTCGAGAAAGACACAAAAGACACACCGGGGTCTAATTTCTAAGGGAGGATGGATGGTTTGAAAAGCTGCTCCTTGCATTTTGTTTCCTTCTGCCTTTTTCCAGTTAATAATCACTGTTATTTTGTGCTGCTTGCGTCGGTATTTTTCTCGGTTATTATGTGTCTGCAAAATATTAAGAGCCCTGAAAATTACAATAATAAGGAAAAATAGCCCAGGAAAAACGGTATTAAAAACCAGAGTTCTCAGCCCTGCTCTTCTAGTTGCTCACCAGTGTCAGCAAGGACTCATTTTATGCCACCCTACTTCTTACCCTGCTCACTATCTCCACTTAATCTCCTTAAATTCTCTGAACACTTCTCAAATTATTCCAGCTTTGTCTATATTCCTAAAACATGGTGAATAAAATGGTATCTTGTTTGAAGTGATATTAGAGTTTCCCCTTTACAGGATACAGTTTCTTCCTTGGCTGCCTGGAAAGGAACAGAAAACTGTTCCTGTATTTCAGGTGTATTTTCACTTCTTTTCCTGTGGTTTTAAAAATATTTCCTGTATCAACTTTTCTAATATTTAATGACATGAGGAAAAAAAAAAAGTTTAAAAAATGTTAAGGTACCTTCACTGTGAACTGCACACATGTCTTCTCATCGGGTTGGTACGAAATACAAAGCATAACAAATCCCACTAAGGCCACCACACAGACCTGCAAAGGAAGAGATGTAAAATGTGTCAAGGTTAAAAAAACCCTACAAAACACAATTTTCCCCCCTGCCCCCAAGCCAAGACACCTTTCTGTGTTTGCAGGACCATAACCCAAGAAGCAGCATGGGAGCAAAGTCATCAAAGACGCAGCACAGCAACGGCCCCGGGATGTGTGTTGGGTTTTTGCCCATAAAACCATCAAAAAAGAGCAGAAGGATTCTGAAGTTGAGCTTGCAAGCCCGAAGAGCACCATCCTATGTAGATCTGGGAGCTGAAAGGGATTTTATGCCACCCATGCAAGTCTTAAATCATTAAACCATGGTTGCCAGTGGGTAAGAAGCAGCGGAGTTTATTGCAGAGGCTTTCACCCTCTTCTGGAGTGGACACCTTACTAAAGAAGGTATCCATCTCCCCTGCAATCTGAAGCTGTGTTTTAGCCTTGTGACTGTAATTGCTGAAGGTTAAAAGTAATGGAAAAGTATTTGCACACTTGTTTATTCGTTTAGCCATCTTTATAATTAATTCTGGATTTATTTGCAGGAGCAGGTACTCACAGGTTGTCATTTTCCATGTAAGAAGGGAAGATCCTCCTCTGAGGAACTAGCCCAATAAATGTGATTTGTTTTTTTGTGTTTAGAAAACTCCATGTGTCCCCACACTGTGCTAAGCACTCCAGTCAAGTGCCCTCCTCTCCGAATTTTTGGAGGATCAGGGAGCAAACCTCACAGGAGGACTCAGGAGCAGCAGACTGCTGCTTTTTGGCAATTCTTGGCCTGAATGGAGGAGTTGGGTACCCAGGCACCAGGTGAGAGCTCCTTTGTGGGGCTGGATCTGGGCATGAGAGGCTGTGGGCAGCTGGAGCTGTGTTCAGAGGAATCTGTGCACGTTTGAGCTGCCTTGGAAAAACAGGTGAGCTGTTGGCATGCACATGGTTTTAAATTACCCTTCAGATCACACTTTTAAAGGCCATTTTAGGTGTGATGAGCCTTAGTGGGGACTTTGGATAAGATCAGGCACTGTTCTTTCAGAGGTCCTGTCTACATGAAGGGCCAGGAGCAAGTCTTCATCCCCCTGCTAGGAGCATCTTGGTTACAAATGACAGTTAAATGATTAAATTCTCAGTGACTACAAGATTCTGTATTTTTTTTACCCCCTCCATTTTACTTCTGAAGTTTGGAAGAGTTGTCATTAATCTGAGGCTTTCTGCTTTCCCAGAGCAGTGGGATTTGCCCTCTTTGGCCAGAGCTGTGTGTGAGCTGCCTTTGCCAAGGTGGGTCTATGGCACAGAGATTCCTGCAGGATTGTGGGGCTCCATCACAGCTCCATCCCCACCTGCATGCCCTGGAAGTGCTGCTCACACCCAGATTTCTGGCTCTACAGGGAGCTTGACCTGCAGTGAAAAATGCCCAGCTGGCCTTTTGGACAGTAATGGATAAACACGTTCTTTTTGTGATCTGTTGCAGAAAGTATCAAACTTTTTGCATCTGCAATGCTGGTGCAAGGCCCGAGACAGCAGCCCTGCAAAGGAGAAGTACCTCCCAACACACACAGAGCCATGTCCCTCAAGAACCTGGGTGATTAGTAACACTTTTCCCCATGAAGTTTTATTTCATGTCATTTCAGTGGGACATGAATAGGAAGTATTGCCCGAGAACATTTCTAAAGAATGCGTCAGTATTATTTACTCCTTTCCATGTCATGTGTATTTATATTCTGGTCCTGTGACTTATACACGGCCTCCAATTTATTTCTTTCTTTCTTTTTATTGTTGACAGCCGTAGCTGACAGGGTTGTCTGGGGAAAAAACAACCTTTCTTGTCAAAGGTCCTTCAGTGCTGGGGTTTTTTTGCCCTGTAGTGCTTCTGTGTGACTCAACCATGTTTTATTTCTCAGGATTAATTGTCTATGTCCTTGGTCCCTTGCACTGCATATTAATCTTTTAATTCAATTAACATGCCCATAAAACTTAAATCTTAAGAGATCCTATTGCTGATAATATCCAAATTATAAACTCCCCCAGTGCCAGTCACGGCTGAAGGAGAGAACCTGCACCAAGAACTTAAAAAACAATACAAACAAACAAAACCAAAAGAAGTTAAACACGCTGTCTTAACATCATATCCCCAAAATTCATGACAAATCATAGGAGCTCCTCAGATCAAAGCTGGGCCTAAGGATTTTCAGGATCTGGTGCTGAAGGATCTTGTTATGAGCAATAAATCAAATTTGCTTTGCTTCAGCTACACTAGTGGGCATTTACACTTGCATGGACTGAGAGCCAGATTTGCCCCCAGGTGACTGCCATGAGACATCATGGGACTGTTCCCACTCCTCCTTCCCCTTCCATTTAACCACAGAAGGCTGACAGAGCTGCATTCATTTCCGAGGGCACGGAGCAGTGCTGGAATTTTCTCTCTGCCATCAAGTGCCTCGGACAACTTTTGCAAAGCTCCTGCTGGCTTCACGCGTGGCAGGATCTTCAGGAAGCTTCCCATACAAAGGGCTATCAGTTAAAAGGAGCTCCATTCCTGCACATGCTTTCTAAAGGTCCTCTGGGATTTAAATCATATACTCAGGGACACTTGAAGAGGCACATTTGTAGAGAGGAATTTATAAAGGATTGCACTGGGTCAGAATTCCGGCAAGTCTTGGCCAGGATATTTTGGAAAGCTTAAGTACTTCTTTTATAACAATACAGTAACATTTTTACCTTTTTTTTTTTTTTTTAAACCAGAGATGTGTGTTTTTCTAAGTGGCAGTAAAAAATAACATGGCTGAGAATTATGACCCACATATGTTTAACATTTCAGCTCTTTAAAGGTAAATTCGCTCCTTGGAGGAAACTAAAGTGTGGAACGTTTATATAGGAAACAGCTCTATGCTGCTATTTTATACATTATTAATAGATCAGCTTTGAATTACACCTGTGAAGTGTAACAGAATAACTATAAAAATCCACTGATAAGTATTTTTTAGGAGCCTCTAAGTGACTACAACAGCTGCAGGCATGTTACAGGTGCTGTTGATGCTGATTGCTAAGCAGCATTAGGTAATCCTGCATCCTGGTGCTGCAACAGCCACTGCCACATCCCAGTGTGAAGCACACATTTCCCATGCCTTATTGACTGAGCACACAACAGAAAATGCAATTGAACCCACTCCAGCACGTGCTTGCCACCAATCGATGTGCATTTGTTACACAAATAAAACAGATTCTCTGAGACCTGCAGGACAGCACTTAATTAGATCAGCTCTGGTCAACTGTTATCCAGAAACCCAGGAATTTGCATTTCTGTGCATATTTCAACTCGAGTTTATTTCAAGATCCTACTTCAAAATTTCCATATGGACTAACACACCCCTTGCCGAATAGGTAGTGACGTGAAAGGTTATCCAAGGGAAGAATTTAATTTTGGAAAGCACTGCCTAGAAAAAGACCCAAATGTGATATAGAAGTATTTAGGAAAGGTAAAGATTTCATTTTGCTTAAGGCATACCCTGTGAAATCCCCCCAGTTCACAACCCAAGAGAACAGCTATTTACTAACACTGGCTGAAGAACTTAAATATTTAGGCTGTACAAAATTTATAATATTTCTTTTTTTGTGGGAAGCAGTAGACATTCCTCCCAATGGGCTGAAAAGTGAATTAAGAATTATTGGTTTTTTTAAGCCACAATCAAAATAGGAGGACAAATTTTCCAGCTTGTTCCTACCCCAAAGAAGGCAGGAACCTGTTGCCATGTTATCCCATCTGCTCCTGCAAGGATTCAGCACAAGGTGTACGAAGAGCACAAGGACACCACGTGGCAAGGATGAGGAAGGTTATGTGTAATTAGGGGAAATAAGAACACGTAGGGCACAAATTTCCGCTGTGGTTTGCACTCATTATCTTTGCACGCTGACATATTCATGTGGTTTGCTTTATTCTGACAGATTTCAAAACCACAGATTGCTCTAATCCTGTCTCCATCTCTCCCTTGTATGCTTGTGAAACTGGTTTTCCTTTTGTTGTTGCTACAATTTTAGCCCAAATGTAGAATAGGTGGTTTTCTCTAGCAAACTACCTCCTACTCAGAGCATCCTGAAAACCTTCACTGGTGAAGCAGGAGGGTTGGGAACATCCACCAAGAAATGAAGGCAGGAGATAAAAACCTGGCCCTAAGGAGCATCTTGGGTCTGTGCCACATCACAAGGCAAATGCTGCAAAACTCACAAAGACACGGTATAGCTCTATATACGGGAGCTTTGTTAGCGAGAACCTCCTGCTATAATTTTCAGGGGCAGAAAACAAACACACCGCAGGACAAAACCTCTCCCAGGTACACCTTGCAATGCCACACAGCACTGCTGAGACCCACAGGAGGACTCTTCCTATTTAATAAGAATGTAAACTCAAACTTCAGGAGGAAAATTGCTGTTAACAGAATTAGGAAGACACTTCCTTTATGGACAAGTGGTTTTGTATTGCAGTTGCTCACTTGGAGACACTGGGGATCTTTCTGCTTTTAGGGACACAGGTAAAGAATGATCTCTTGCAGCTATCTCTGGATTTCTGGCTCTCCCTCACAGGTGAGGCTTAACAGTTCTCCCACCTTATCAGATATGGCAAGGCTTAGCTCCTGTCTACACCTTTGGAGAAGCCACTTTATCCAAGTCTAGCACTCCCACTGGACACAGATTTTGATGCAGGAAAGAACCTGTCCCTGTTGGCTTTGCCATTATAAACCTGGATCACCTCTGGTGCCAGACATCTCTACAGGTTGTTGCAGACAGCAGCACTTAAGTTGATTTTCTTTACGAGCTCTGAGGAAGCTGTGATGAAAGTGGGTGCTGCAGGCAGCTTTCACTGCCAGCTTTCATCAGCCTCAGGTCAGCCTGTGTCTCACTGTCACACACGAAGGACGTCACATGTCTGCAACACAGAGGTACTGTGCCCTAATTTATTTATTTTTTTTATGCCTTATAGACTCCTTGTTAAATTTAAGGACAGCTTAGTTGCA